GTCCTAAAGGGTCACTATGAGTCGGAATTGACTGGATGGCAACGGGTTGGGTTTCTTGTTTTTAAGGGAGGAAAAGTATCTTCAAGAACATTTCTTCAGTACTAGCATTTCAAAATCTCTACAGCAATTTTAATTTTATAATATTTAGTTCATATACAATTCAGTTTTCAAAGTGCCAAATGACTAACAGAGCTGTGGAATGAACGTTTATAACTCCTTTTAGGAAACTTTTCAGCACACAAAGTCCGGAAAAAAGTAGCAGCAACCCTGTTTTAAATGTATTAACATATAAGTTTAAAATCAGGCTTTGGAACTCTGTGTGTGAAAGAAAATATGAGCAAATATTTTAATGTTTAAAAAAATTACTAAATTTAAAACGTATTGTTTTAATTATTCTTTTAGTTTTATTAATTCCAACAATAATCACTGTTTTCCAAGATCAGTCCCCCACCAAATTTCACGAGATAACCTCACTTACCTTTATTACCCCAGTAGTACATTCATAGAAGATGTAGTAAACTAAGATGTACTGGCATTTAGACGTCAACTCCTCAGAGTTAGGTGGATGGACAGTTCTAAACATGTATGTGTGTGTTGTTGTTGTTGTTATGTGCTGTCCAGTCGGCCCTGACTCATAGCGACCCCTCCTTGGGTTTCTGAGGTGATATCATTATGGTAGTAGATTGCCCAACCTTCCAAGGTTTGAACCACCAGCCTTCTGGTTAGCAGTCAGGTGCCTTAGGCACTATGCTACCAGAGCGCCTATGTATGTGTTTGGCACCCCAAAATCCAACCTTTTATGTTGTTTTGCTAGAAACTTAAGGTATAGCCAGAATGTTTGGATTAAAAACCCAAACTAAACCCACTGCCATGGAGTTGATTCCAATTCATAGTGTCCCTTTAGGAGAAAGTAGAACTACCCTTTAGAGTGTCCAAGGCATGATCTTTCTCATGAGGAGCAGCTGGTGGTAAAGGTTTGAACCACTGACAGTTGTGGTTAGCGGCCAAATGCTTTGAACAGAGCTCCTAATGTGTGGATGAATGTGGGGAACAGCGCTTGAGTGGGGCACATCTAATAACATGTTTTTGTGTTTCCTGGGAAGATTTTAATCCATCTTCCATGCCAAGGTCCTCCTGCCTCTGATTTGATTCTTTTTCCTTCTCAAAGTGGGTTGTGAGGAAACATTGTTTCTGGGTAACCAGGGTTGGTTCCAGGCAAGCAAGAGAAAGGCCTTAGTTGTACAAAAAACTGAAGACCAAACTCACTGCCATCAAGTCAATTCCGACTCATAGCAACCACCATTGGGTTTCCAAGGCAGTAAATCTTTACTAAAGCAGACTGCCCCATCTTCCTTCTCCTTCCACAGAGAAGCTGGTGGGTTTGAACCTCCAACCTTCTGGTTAGCTTTTAGATGCCTTAGGCAGTGCACCACCAGAACTCCTTTTGAGTTGTGCAAGCCCTGCAAGTTCTTGGTTTGTCAGGTGTATTTCTGAAGAAATACAAGAACAGGGAGAAAGAGTTGTAGAAAGGAATAACCAAGGAGAGGCACTAATTTTGAAGTAATGGGGTAAGGTAAGGCAGCATGGTATGTTATTATCTGCTGTTGAGTCAGACCCTACTGATAGCAACCCCTCCTTGGGTTTCCGAGGCAGTATCACTACGGAAGTAGGTTGCCCAACCTGCCTTCCGAGGAGTGCCTGGTGGGTGTGAACCTCCAGCCTTCTGGTTAGCAGCCAAGTGTGTTAGGCACTGCGCTACCAGAACTCCTCAGCAGGATATAGAGGCCAGAATATTAAACCAGGACTCTGGAGTCCTGACTTTCTGTGACTGCTTTTCTGCTTGGGGCTTGTGGTCTGGGTGGTTACTCTCTTGAGCAGACTTTCTTTATCTTTAAATAAGGGTGATGACATTGGCCCTGTCTCCCTCATGGAGTAGTTGTGAGGATCAAATCTTGCATCTATTCACATTCATTTGCATTTTACAAATTCTGAAGAATGAGAAAGCGGTAAGTTTCTATTTGGTTTAGAAATATAGATACTGTATATTTAGTTTGCAAAGTTTGCTGTTGGGTGTCGGCCAGCCGATTTCAAATCATTTCAAATCATAGTGACCCAAAGTGACAGAGTAGCACTGCCCCAATAGGATTTTCTAGGCTGTAATTTTTACAGGGGCAGATCCCTGGTCTTTCACTTGTGGAACCCCTGGGTGGGTTTGAATTGCCAACCTTTTGGTTAGCAGCCGAGCACTTAACCACCAGAGTTCCTTTGCAAAGATTAGATGTGAGTAGTTTCTGAAGCTCTGGTAGCATAGTGGCTAAGGCACTTGACTGCTAATCAGAAGGCTGGCGGTTCAAACCCACCAGCCACTCCTCAGAAGAAAGGTTGGGCAATCACTACTTCCGTAGTGATACTGCCTCGGAAACCCAAGGAGGGGTCGCTATGAGTTGGGTCCTACTCGACGGCACATAACAACAACAGTTTCTAAAGAAATGATCTTTGGATAACTCCATTTTGAGGCAGTTTGATGGAGAATGTATTCATAAACATTAAAATAGACAAGGATAACCAAATTTACAGAAATACTTGTGTGTGTGTGTGTGTGTGTGTGTGTTTCTATTTTTTTACAATTGAAGTAAAATTTACGTGGTGATATGCATAGATCTTAAGTGTACTATTTGAAAAGTTTTGATGAGCTCTGGTGGCGCAGGGCCTAAGGCATTTGACTGCTAACCAGAAGGCTGGTGGTTCAAACCCACCAGCCACTCCTTGGAAGAAAGATTGGGCAATCTACTTCTTTAATGATACCGCCTCAGAAACCCAAGGAGGGGTCACTATGAGTCAGATCTGACTCCATGGCAGTGAGTTTGGTTTTGAGTTTGTGTAACCGCTATCCCAATTAATATATACAATTTCATCTTTTTATCACCTAGAAAGTTGCCTCTTAACCTTCTCAGTCATGCCCCCCCCCCACCGTCCAGGTGACAGCTGTTCTAATTTTTAACCCCATAGATTAATTTTGCATGTTCTTGAATGTCATATAAATAGAATCATACAGTAGATACACTTTAGTGTTTGACTTCTTTTACTCAGATGTTTTTGAGAGATTCATCCATGTGATGCATGTATTGGTGTTAGTTTAATTTTTATTCCTGAGCAGTATTACATTGTAAAAATGTGTTATGGTTTGCTTCCCCATTCTGCTGCTGATGGATATTTAGGTTATTATCAGTTTGGGGCTGTTACGTTCTTGGAAAGTCTTTTTGTGGACTTTTTTTTTTTTTTTTTTTCCCATTTCCTTAGGTAAATAGGAATAGAAATCCAGGGCAGAAGTATAAAAAACTGTCAGACTTTTTCCAATGTTATTTTACACTCCTGTCAGCAGTGTTAAAAGGATCCTGGTTGCTCTACCTCCTTCCTAACATTTGGTGTTGTCATTCCATTTAATTTTAACCATACTAGAGGGGGTGAAATTGTGTTTCCTTGTGGTTTTAATTTCTGTTTCCCGATGACTAATGGTGTTGAGCACCTTTTTATGTTTATTTTTTTCAAATATTTTTTGCCAAGTGCTTATTCAAGTCTTTAGCTCATTTTCTTATTGGGTTGCTTGTCTTATTATTGTTGGATTGACACAGTGACTGCAACAGTGGGCTCAAACGTACCAATGATTGTACCAGTGAAGCAGGCTCTGACAATGTTTCTTTCTGTTATATATAAGGCCATTGTGGGTCAGAGCCCAAATGACAGCACCTAATAATATCATAATAAGCATTCTTTATATATGCTATGTAGACATTCCTTAACAAATACAGTGAATATTTTCTCCCACTCTGTGGTTTGCATATTCATTTTCTTAATGGATGTTTTGTTGGGTGAAAAGTACTCTCACTAAACTCGCTGCCATCAAGTCAGATCCTATCTGATTCATAGTGACTCCTCCTTGGATTTCTGAGGCGGTATCTCTACAGAAGTAGATCACCCAATCTTTCTTCTGAGGAGTGGCTGGTGGATTTGAACCACCCGCCTTCTGGTTAGCAGTCAAATGCCTTACCCACTGTGCCACCAGAGCTCCTGAGTAACAAGTAGGTGTTCTTAATTTTGATAAAGTGCAATTTCTTAACTTTTTTGTTTCATACTTTTTTTTACTTTTACAAAAATTATGTTTCATATTTTTATAAATTATTTTATGTTGTTGGGCGTATACACAGCAGAACATCTGCTTCATGCATTTAAAAGAGACCTCAGAATTCTCTGCGTACTTCATACTTGGGAGTACTTCCTCCGTTGTTCTCTTCTAGCAGCTGTATTGCTTTAGTGTTATATTTAGGTTTATGAAGAGATACTTATTTTCAATATATATCTCTCTATATAGAGAGATCAGAGATTATTGGTGGCTACCAGGGTGGGAGGGAGGGGAAAAGGGGAAGCTTTTTTTTGCAGGGCATTGAGTTCATGTTAATGATGATGGCGTATTTTGGAAAAGGATGGCACAACATGAAAAATGTCATCAATGTCCCTGAGTTGTAAATGTGGAAGTTATTATGTTGGTGAATGTTTTGTTGTATATGTTTTCACCACAATAAAAGTGGGGGAAAAAAGAAAAAAAAAACTTATTTTAATGCAGCAAAGTGAATATAATAAACATTGGATTTGAATCACTCTAAATCAGTCCAGATGTTCCAGAAGGCTCTGGGTTCTAATTCTTTGAGAAGTGGGTGACCCCTTCCTTCTTCCAAGTCTGTCTTAGTCTGGAAGCTCTGCTGAAGCCTGTCCACCATGGGTGACCCTGCTGATATTTGAAATACCAGTGGCACAGCCTCCGGCCTCGCAGCAACACGCAAGCCACCATAGTATGACGATCTGACAGACAAGTGGTGGATATGAAAAGAATTTTTTCTTATCATGAAACAACAATAATAGCTATAATAATATAATGATGTGTCATGCATTTCTTTTAGGACATTCATTTTTGAAAGTGAATAAAATTGGTTTTGGAAGACAAGATGACTACTGCTGCAGAAAGAAAATATGTTAATATTAGGAAAAGGTTGGATCAGTTGGGATACCGCCAGACTCTGACAGTGGAGTGCTTACCTTTGGTAGAAAAACTTTTCAGGTAAAGAAAATACAGTTCTAAGCCTATGTTTTCCTTAATCCTGTTTATCTCATTTCTTATTGAACTTCATCCTTCAGTGAAGAAATGGTTAGATTTTTGAAAAGTCCTTAAATAGTCTGAAGCTCATCTATTCTTCCTTAGATCCTGCTCCCCATCATCAGTTCAAGAATAAACATTTCTGAGTGTTTTCTCAGTGAATAGAGTTAGACTTTTTTTAGTGTTGTTTTCTAATATAGTTGAAAGACGCTCTTCCCTTAAGTTCTATGTCTGCTTTCGGTTCTCTGTTGGCCTTGGAAGGAAGGTTGGTCAATCTATTTCCATAGAGATACTGCCTCAAAAACCCAAGGAGGGGTCGCTATGAGTCAAAGCGACTCAACTGCAGTGAATTTGGTTTTTTTAAAAATATATTGGTGGTTACTTTAGCTGTTACATTTACCTTAACTGAAAGGTACTCTGTGATTTTTTTTTTCTTTTCTACAAGAGCTATATTGGAGTGGGTTGAGACTGAAGTGGAGAAATTCCTTAAGTGGCTTTTGAATAGGAGTATAAGTGATGATGATGAAAAAGAAAGATTGGATAAAATATTTTGTGATCTTCAGTGTGGCCTCTGAAACCCTTCATGACCTAAAGCCTGCTGCTCGATGCATCTTCTTGTCCCTTGTATCAAACTACTTGAAGTTCCCTGAACATTTCCTGTACTTTCTCACATGCTGTTCTATCTGCCCAGTGGGCAGAGTAGACTAATGCATGAGGGGGTTGGGTGGTTTGCAAAAAAAAGACAGCACATATCATTTGTGTAAAAATATGATAGTATATAAATATTTGATGAATAAACAAATGTCACAGATTCCACTGCATCAGGTGACTAATTGGATGTAGAGGCTGAGTGAGGAGGGAGAGTCAAAGATGCTTCTGTGTATATTTTACAACTTTTAATCTTGTTTTGAAAAAATTTTGAAGACTTCCTGGTACCTTGAAGAATCCTAATAATATTTTTTAAAATTAAAAAAATAATAATAATATTTGGGTTTATTTACCATGAACATATTTTAAACTTTCTTTAGAAATCCATAGTTATTAAAAAGTTAATGGAATGCTTCCTTGTGTTTACGTTTTCTGTTATTTAATTTCAGTGACTTAGTTCATACAACAGAGAGCCTTCGGAAATCAAAGTTATCTTCTGTGAAAGCTGAAAAGGAAAGTGCAAATTTTGATTTTGTTTTGGAACCCTATAAAGTTGAAAATGCAAGATTAAGCAGGGAAAATAATGAATTATACCTGGAATTAATGAAATTGAGAGAACAATCAGACCAACAAATTAAAGGTAAGTGAAAACTGTTAATTCTTTATTTATTTTTGCAGTGTTTTCTTTCCTCCCAACCTATCCCTGGTAACCAACAAAGAAAGTTTCCTTCCATATATAAACCTTCCTTGACTTTTTACAATAGTGAACTAGTACAACATTTGTCATTCTGTGATTGACTTCTTTAACTCAGCATAATGTCCTCCAAGGTCATCAACGTTATGTGGTATTTTGTAGATTCTACATTAATTCTTTAGTGTTGCATGGTATTCCATTCTGTGTATGTGCCATAGTTTGGTTATCCATTCTTCTGTTGATGGACACCTAGGTTGTTTCCATCCTTTTGATATTGCGAATAGTACTGCAATGAACATGGCTGTGCATATATCTTATCTGTTCTTGTCCTGGCTCTCAATTCTTTAGGATATGTACCTAGTAATGGAATTGCTGGATCAAACAGTGTTTGTAATTCCAGCTTCTTAAGGAATTGCCATACTGCTTTCCACAGTGCTTGTATCATTTTACAGTCCCACCAGCATTCTAGGAGAGTCCCAGTCTCGCCACATCCTTGCCAGTATTTGTTATTTTCTGTCTCATTGAACTTTGGGAGCTCTGGTGGCGTAGTGCCTAAGGTAATTGACTGCTAACCAGAGGCTGGCAGTTCAAACCCACCAGCCACTCCTCGAAACGAAGATTAGGCAACATACTTCCGTAGTTATACTGCCTTGGAAACCCAAGGAGGGGTCGCTTTGAGGCAAAACCAACTTGATGACAGTGAGTGAGTGAGTGAATGTGTTGAACTTTGCTATTAGTGCTGGGGTGAGATGGTATCTCGTTGTTTTGATTGGCATCTCTTCTAATGGCTAATGATCATGAACATTTTTTCATTTGTTTGTTGGCCGCCTGAATATCCTCCTTGGTGAAGTGTCTATTCATGTCTTCCGCCCATTTTTTAATTGGATTGTTTATCTTTTTGTTGTTGAGGAGTTGGAGTTTTCTATAAATTTTAGAGATAAGTCCCTTGTCAGATACGTCGTTGCTGAATAGTTTTCCCAATCTGTAGGTTCTCTTTTTACTCTTTTGGATAAGTCTTTTGACACACATAACAATTTAATTTTTAGAAGGTCCCATTCATCTAGTTTATCTTTTGCTGTTTGTGCATTTTGGGTTATGCTTGATAGTCTATTTATGTAATATATTGTTGTTGTTGTTGTTGTTGTTGTTGTTATGTGCCATTGAGTCAGTCCTGACTCATAGCGACCCTCCTTGGGTTTCCGAGGCAGTATCACTACAGGAGTAGATTGCTCAACCTTCCTTCCGAGGAGTGGCTGGTGGATTTGAACTGCCAGCCTTCTAGTTAACAGTCGAGTGCCTTAGGCACTACGCTACCAGAGCTCCCCTGCCATATATTAGGGCCCCTAAATTTGACCCTGGTTTTTCCTTGAGGAACTTTATGGTTTTTAGGTTTCACATTTAAGTCTTTGCTCCATCCGGAGTTAGTTTTTGTGTATGGTGTGAGGTACAAATCTTGTTTCATTTTTCTGTGAATGGATATCCAGTTTTGTCAGCACCATTTGTTAAAGAAACCATCTCTTCCCCATTTAATGGATTTCAGTCCTTTGTCAAAGATCAACTGACCATAGGATGATGGATCTATTTCTGGGTTCTCAATTCTGTTCCACTGATCTATGTTTCTGTCATTGTACCAATACCAGGCAGTTTTGACTGCTGTGGCTGTTTGGTAGGTTTTGAGATCTGGGAGTGTGAGACCTCCTACTTTGTTCTTCTTTTTCAATAGTGCTTTGCTTACCCAGAGTCTTTCCTTTCTATGTAAAATTAGTGACTGGTTTTTCCGTATCCTTTAAGAATGCTGATGGGATCTGGATTGGGAATTCATTGAATGTATAGATTGCTTTGGGTAGTATTGACATTTTCACAATGTTCAATCTTCCTATCGACAAGCATGGTGTGTTCTTCCATTTATGTAGCTCTCTTACAGTTTCTTGAAGTAGTATTTTGTAGTTTTCTTTGTGGAGGTCCCTAGTGAGATTTATTCCCAAGCATTTTATTTTTTTTATAGCTATTGTAAATGGTATTGATTTCCTTTTTTCCTTTTCAGCAATCTTTTTGCTGGTGTCCAGGAATCCAGCTGATTTTTGGATGTTGATCTTACCTGCGAGGTTGCTAAATCCCTCAATTAGTTCCAGTAGTTTTTTTGCTGAGTCTCTTGGATTTTCTAGGTATAGGATCATGTCATCTGCAAATAGGGATAGTTTTACTTCTTCCTTACCAGTTTGGATGATTTTGATTTCCCTTTCTTGTCTTAATTGTCCTGGCTAGGACTTCTAATACAATGTTGAATGGAAGTTTTGATAGAGGGAATCCTTGTGTGGTTCCTATTCACAAGCAAGATGGTTTCAGTCTCTCTCCATTGAGAATAATGTTGACTGTTGGTCTTGCATATGTGCCCTTTATTATGTTGAGGAATGTCCCTTCTCTTCCTATTTTGCTGAGAGTTTTGATCAGGAATGAGTGTTGGATTTTATCAAATGCCTTTTTTGCATTGATTGATAGATCATTTTCTTTTCCTTTGTTTTATTTATGTGATGGATGATGTTGGTTATTTTTCTAATGTTGAACCATACTTGCATACCTGATATGAATCCCACTTTGCTGTTGTTGTTATGTGCCGTCGAGTCAGACCCGACTCATAGCGACCCCTCCTTGGGTTTCTGAGGCAGTATCACTAGGGGGGTAGATTGCTCCATCTTCCTTCTGAGGAGTGGCTGATGGGTTTGAACCGCCAGCCTTCTGGGCAAGTCAGGTGCCTTAGGCATTACGCTACCAGAACCCCACTTGGTCATAATGTATTTATCATCTTTTTGATATGTTGTTGAAGTCTATTGTCTAGGATTTTGTTGAAGATTTTTGCATCTGTATTCATGAGGGATACTGGCCTGTAGTTTTTCTTTTTAGTGATGTCTTTGCCTGGTTTTGGTATCAAGGTTATGCTTTCTTCATAAAATGAATTTGGGAGGATTCCATCCTTTACCATGTTCTGGAATAGTTTGAGTAGCATTAGTGTCAGTTCTCTGAATGTTTGGTAGAATTCTCCAGTTAAACCATCTGGGGTGGGGCTGAAAATGGTTCATTCTTTTAACACAGAATTTTATTTTCTATGTGGTGTCGTTCCTACTTGCCATGAAGTCAACTCCAGTTCCTGGTGACTTTGTGTATAACAGAGTAAAATGTTACTGGGTCCTGTGCCATCTTCATGATCTTTGATATGTCTGAGCCCATTGTGTTGATCCATCTCATTGAGGGTTTTCCTTATTTTCACTTATTTATTAAGCAATATGTCCTTTTCTAGTGACTGGTCTTTCCTGGAGACACATTCAGAGCAAGTCAGACAAAGTAGGGAGGGCTAACACTGAGCGCTTTGACCACTGTGCCACCAGAGCTCCTTAAAGTCTTAAGTGTGAAACTGTTCTTTACAGAATGTGATGGTCGTTTGGCCAGCAGCTTCTGAACTACTTTAGGGTATGTGGAAGAATTCCTGAGAAGAAAAATGTATGTGCATTCCATTGCTGTATTTGTCCACACCATATGTAAATTAAATTTTTAGAATTAAAATTGCTGTCTGGAATATTAAGTGCTGGAATTGAATGTTCTTGAAACACCTTGTTTTTCTTTTTTGATTCAACTTTAATGAATATTTTCCTCTAGTTGATTTATTTTACAGTTCAAGAGTTCATACATACAAAGATCAGAGTTTGCTTGGTCTAATCCATATATCCATAGTAATATGAAATTTAATCAAATGGCCTACTGAATTAAATTTGTTAGTTAAATATCAATAATTTATATTGATGCATGAACATTTTTACATGAAAATATAAAAAAGAAGAGAAACCTAATCCACAAGAAACTGACCTCAAATTCGATTTTTTAATATGTGCCTTGAGAGATTCAGAAGTTTCTACTATTAGCAAATACTCAAATTAATGATGCAAATTAGAAAACCTACTCTAATTACATTCACCAAATTGTCAGTGATTTGTATGAAAAAAGTTATGGATTGGATAATACTGTAGCCATTCTAGTAATTTCAAAATGCTGAAACATAAATAAGAACCTAAATGTAACAGAAATTAACTATTGAAAAGTCCTTACAGACAAAAATATTTATATTTATGTTTAACTAGTTTACTAGCCCATAATGTTAGAAACAAACTAACTAAAGGAAATAATGAATTTGTCAGAAGTGGGCCATTGTTGTTGTTGGGTGCCACTGAGTCAATTCCAACTCTAAGCAACCCTGTATGCAACAGAACAAAACGCTGTCTGGTCCTAAAACATCCTCACAATCATTCCTATGCTTGAGCCCATTGTTGCAGTCACTGTGTCAATCCATCTCACTGATGGTCTTTCTCTTTTTTGTTGACACTCTACTTTACTAAGCATGATGTCCTTCTCCAGACCTGGTCCTTCCTGAGAACATGTCCAAAATATGTAAGAAGTCTCATAATGCTCACTTCTGAGAATTCTGGCTGTTCTTCCAAAACAGATTTGTTCATTCTTCTGGCAGGCCATGCATGGTATATTCGTAATTCTTAGCCAACACCATAATTCAAAGGCATCAGTTCTTTAGTCTTCATTCATTGTCCAGCTTTCACATGCACGTGAGGTGATTGAAAATACCATGGCTTGGGTCAGGTGCACGTTGGTCATCAAAGTGACAGTCTTTGTTTTCTAACACTTTGAAGAGGTCTTTTGCAGCAGGTTTGCCCAATGCAATATGTTGTTTAGTTTCTTGACTCCTGCTTCCATGGGTGTTGATTGTGGATCCAACCTTGTTTTTCTCTTACTGAAAATAAGAGTAATAAAGGTGAAAGCCAGGTACCACTCTGATTCTTTAATAGCTGGTCTTTGAGCTAGAAGGTAGAATAATATGATTTCAAAGATACTGGGGAAAGGTTAGATATATGGCTATCTTATTCAGACATTTTTCTTCCATTCAATAGAAAGCTGTAATACCTAGCGTGAATTCATAATCCCCTCAATTCATACCCAGTTTACCAAATCAAAAGCTATGATTTATATTGGGTTTATGCAGCAGCAGAAAAATAGAATCCCCTTTTGTGATTAGTGACTTATTTCTAGTTCTGTAAATAGTAGAAAAGGTATATAGGCTTTCCAACAAACCATGCTTAAGAATCAAGTAGAACCTTTCAAATTGATGGCACTTTTTTTGCTTTATGAAATCAGACAACCTAATAGATTTCTTAATCTTTAATATAGTTTTTGGATCTTTCTTAAGAGTTGAAAGCTTCACTGAAGAAGTGTACACGTGAAACAGGTGATCTTAAATTTCTAAATAACCAGTATGTTCATAAACTCAAACTTTTGGAGAAAGAGAGCAGAGCTAAGAATGAAAAAATACAGCTACTTCAAGAAAAGAATATGCATGCAGTAGTACAAACTCCAGGTAAGTCTATTCCTTCTAAAAAAAAAAATGGATTTTTTTTTTTAATACTTCATCTTTTAAAGGTACTAAAACTATTGACAGAAATAGGACTTAGGATTTTAATGCATGGAGTTTAGTGTTTGTAAAGATATATGAACTAGTCATATAACTTTCTTGACTGATTTCTGTGGATGAAGATAGTATTTTATACAATGCATCTGTATAAAAGTGTGTATGTAATAACAACTTTTTAGATACAAGCAGTCTAACTTTAATCCCAGAGTTTTATTTCTCTAATTGTGTATTTCCTTCTATTTTTATTGCTTGTTATAAAACTGAAGAAAAATTTGGAAATTATGTGTGCTTTTGTAGTTTATTTTTTAACTTTGTGTGCAGCATTTGTAAAATAAAAGAGATGATAGCGCATATCCAGAGTTGGTGGTTGCCCAGGCACAGGTTGGTGGAGAATTCTACATCACTGTGACTGCACCATTGCGGTGTCTCAACGGTGGGGCCAAGATATTGGAAGTGAGGCATAAAAGACTGCTGGATTATGAAGCTGGGGAGAGATTGAGGGCCTAAAGGGTGTGGTGAGAACCAAAATTAATTTTATTGGAATGAAGATTGTAGTCAGAATGGAATTTCAGATGTGAAGATCTAGAATCTGGCACAGTTCTGAGTGGTGACAAAGGCCAAAGCATAGTCATGTTACTATGTGCCTAAAGCTGAGTGGAGAGGAAACTCAGGAGAGTTGAGGGGTTAGGAAGTATAGGCCAAGATGTGAGAAAAAATCTTTGGCATTTGAGTTGATAGAAAATGAAATGGAGATTGTGAGCCAAAGGCAGAAAAGATGGAGAAAAGTGGGAGAGAAATCTCAGAAACAACTAGAAGAGTAAAGAATAATGATGTTTCCTGAGGAAAGAGTAGAACAAATTTGAGAGAGACTCAGGAGCTATAATCAGTGCAATTTCATGACTGAATATGGTAGATTCGGGAAGGAAAGGAATTCCCAGATTTCTGTTTTGAGTAAATGCATGGGTGGATGATGGTGCTGTTTCTCAACACAGAGAACATGGGAAGCAGAGCAGGCGTCCACTTTTGGGTATAGTGAGGACGTTATACCCATGAGACACTCATGTTGAGCTTTCTGAGCAGAGGGATACGTATGTGGATGTTATCAGAAGTGGGGTCCCAGATGGAGATTGAAATTTGGGACTCATTAATCATGGTGTGATAGGAATATCTAGTGAGAATCTGTTGACTGGGAAACGAAAAATGGTAATTTAAAAAAAAAAAAAGGAAATTGGCATTTAAGAGACTAGCGCTGGACAAAGAGATTCTTTGAAAGAAACGGAAGGAGCAACCAAGAAAGAAAACCAGGAGGTAAAGGAAGAAAACCTTGAAGAAGGAACAGTAACTTTTGCTTAGGTGTGTAACTGCAAGCAGATCATTTGAATACTTTTGACCTGGTTTCTTCATCCTTTTAAGGAGATACAGGAGTATTACAAAATTTGTTAGGATTGTAATGAAGACAAAGTTGTAGATTATGTTGTTCATGAGAATCTTCTCATTTTTCAGGTACACTTCTAATCTTGGTTTGATGCTTTTTTTAAAGATAAAACATTCCCTAGGGATTCAGATTATAAGATGATTTTATATCACTGGTAACATAACATTTTATTATATACTACTTTTACTACTTAAAATTTCAGTTATCTGAACTTTGGACACTGTTTAGTGAGTGTATGTATTTTAGTTCTTAGCGCCGTCAGCTCTGCATTTGAGTTTTCTGTCAGTGATGACTTCTTGAGCTCATAATAGAGAACATCAGGGGCCCACTCAGCTTTTAATTTTGTTAACATCTGGTCCCCATCCAGTGGAGGAACAGAGTAAATTCTGGCATCCAAGCCAAGCATTCAGGCAAATAAAACTTATCTTTTAGCCATGTCTTATTAGGTTTTGAAGAATGCATTGTTCAGTTAAAGATAATGGTGAGTATTTACATGTGAGGGAGGAAATATTTTATCAGCATGTAATATGATCCAGGAACATACCTCATAACAAAAAAGGTTAAACTTCTAAATTATTTAGAGAGCTCTGGTGACACTCTGGTTAAGGCACTGGGTATAACCAAAAGGCTGGCAGTTTGAACCCACCAGGTGCTCCACAGGAGAAAGCCCAGGCAGTCTGCTTTCATAAAGATCTACAGCCTTGGAAGCTCTGTGGGGTTGCTGTGAGTTAGAATTGACTTGATGGCAGTGGGTTTGGTTTTTTGGTATTATTTAATTCTAAATATGATGCTTTATTTTATTAATTTTTTAATGTACACAATTTTTTTTTCCCCAGGTGGCAAAAAAAGAAATATTGCATTCAGGCGCCAGCGTATGCAAATTGATGAGCCAGTCCCTCCTTCTGAAGTCACTTCATATCCAGTTCCTCAGCCAGATGACCCTTATATTGCAGACCTCCTGCAAGTGGCTGATAACAGGTGCATTAAATAGTTTTCTATTGGCTTAGTTAATTTATCACTTGATCACCTGTAAGCTGCTTGATAATAGAGCTTTTATCTTAACTATTGTGTCCTCAGTGCCTAGCACAGAACCTTGCCCAGCTGCTCAGTAAGTACTTTCTGAATGATAAAAAAAATCATTTTATGTATTTTGAAACTTTGATTTCAGATAAGTCGTATACCTGATGTTTCTGTTCATACTTGCTTTAAATAATTTAGTGCCATCTAGAATCTTTTTCCGTAGAGTTGCTCTGTTTTTTTGTTTTTTTAATAATATTGTGTTTTTGGTAAAAGTTTACACAGCAAATTAGGTTCCTGTTTGACAGTGTCTATGCAAATTCAGTGAGATTTTTCACAGTGTGTCAGTGTTCTCTTTAATTGGATTCTGGTTGTTATACAATTGCTATGATATTTAGTATCAACTAAGAGTTGCCTTTTAGAGGAATCTTTATTACTTATTCAGAGTTATATCAAATGACAATTGGACATGAGTAGACTTGGAACTGGCTTTGGAAGTCTTGTATCATGATTCATGTTTGTATATCCTTAAATTAGAGTCAGATACAAGTGCCATTTAATTAAAACTTCCTTAAGCTGCTGTGGACAATGCACATTGTAAGTGCTTAGGGGATATAAACATGGATAAAATGATGTTGCTGCTTTTGAGAAGCTTATAGTCCAGTAAGGAGCTCTGGTGGCATAGTACCTAAGGCATTTGACTGCTAAGCAGAAGGCTGGCGGTTCAAACTCCCCAGCCACTCCTCGGAAGGAAGGTTGGACAATCTACTTCCATAGTGATACTGCCTTGGAAACCCAAGGAGGGGTCGCTATGAGTCTAATCTGACTCAATAGCAGTGAGTTTGGTTTTTGGTTTGATAGGCCAGAAGGGAAGATGAGGCAAGAGAAATACACTAAATGACATTAAGAAAATTGTAAGGGGTTCAGAGTTCCAAAATAGCACTAGTGACAGTGACAGAGAAGCATTTCAAAATGTGGAATTCATGCTAATGGAAATAGTTACTGTAGATAACTATTTCAATAAATCGAACATGCAGAGTGTTTTCCACTTTGTTAGTCTCAATATAACAGTCTAAAAAAAGAGCATTGGTTAGAGGTGTTACTGAAGGTCCCTTGGTTCAGTTAGTTATTCTTGCACAATATCATGTGCTTGTACAATTAGCTGACCTTAACTATGAAATACTTTGTGGTTTGTTTTTCTGTTTAAGTTATAATTTAGGACTTCTCAGACGATGCGTTAGTATTACTCAAGGAATTATTTGGGCTGCATTATGTTTCATTTTCTGCCTTTCTCTTTGTCCTTAACATTTTGCTATCAAACCATCCAGGACGTTAGTCTCTTTTATAACCTTGTTAGCTTGCCACATGCACATTTTATTTGTATTCAGAGTTACTCATGCACGCGTGAGTACGGTTGTATTTATATTCTTATCTTGAACCTAGATGAGTAGAAACTCTGCTTCCGATAGTTGCAGGGACAAGTTCTGTCCAGCTTCTTGTACTCCACCCCATAGAAATTCTCTTTTAAAAGCACACTTAACTTTAAGTTTTATCTTGCTGGTGTGTAAGTGAAGTATGCCATTTTTATGTCAATGTGTGACAGAATAGGCAATTGGTAAAATTCTGGTAATTTGAATAAAATCTCAATACTATTAGAATTAACCGGAGTTCCAGAAGGCACATGATTTTTGCTGTAGTTACTTGGAAAGTTACATCATTCCTTGATGGTTTTCTTTTCTTCCATGGTTTATTAGAAAATTACAGTCACTTAGGGTCAGAAAACGTATTTCAGTGCCTCATCTTACTTAATAAAGCTGTGAATTTTGGTTTGATCTGAACTCTTCTTAGGTTTTCTAAACCTGAGAACTGGCAGCATCGCCTCAAAGAGTTGTCCTAGGATCAGAATGGGATAGTAGGTATTATGGATTGAATTGTGCCCCCCAAAATATGTGTTATAAATCCTAACCCTCTATGCTTGTGGTTATAATCCCATTTGGCAATGGATTGTCTTTGTTATGTTAACAATCCAGAATTCGTGTAGGTTGTGTATTGAGTCAGTCTCGTGAGATGGAGATTAAAAGTCAGCTAGCAAGCAGAGATGTGGGAAGTGAGATTCCAGGGTACGTGAAGATCACCCAAGAGCAGAAGGTAAAAGAGACAAAGAGCTTCCTCCAGAGCCTGCAGAGAGAAAACCTTTCCCTAGAGCCAGCGCCCTGAAGTAGACTTCTGGCCTCTTTAAACTCATAAAATGAACTTGTTAGAGCTTCCCATTTGTGGTATTTCTGTTAAGCAGCACTAAGTAAGTAAGACAGTATTCTATTGCATAACTTATTTGAGTTTCACATTGTTTACTCGTTCTTTATTCTTCTAGTGAACTCTTCTAGGAGCTCTGGTAGCATAGTGCCTAAGGCACTTGACTGACTGCTCACGAGAAGGCTGGCGGTTCAAACCCACCAGCCACTCCTCAGAAGGAAGGTTGGGCAATCCTACTTCCGTAGTGATACTGCCTCGGAAACCCAAGGAGGGGTCGCTATGAGTCAGGGCTGACTCGACGGCAAACAACAACAACAACAACAGTGAACTCTTCTAGGACGTACATTATTTAAAATGCTGTGACTTTGGAACCCTTTGACACAGCACCTCATACCTCACTGAGAAGCAGAAAGTAGAGAATTTGTAAAAAGAATGTACCTAGTTTCATTTTTTGTTTTTTGTGTATCTTAACAAAACCATATTCACATTAGTTGTAACTGTATTGCAGGATTCAAGAACTTCAACAGGAAGTCTGCCAGTTACAAGAAAAGTTAGCAATAATGGAAAATGGAGTGAGAGATTATAATAAGCAGGTAGAATTTTTATTTATTTTCATAGTAGGGATTGAGATGGGTATGTGTGATCGTAAATGTAATTGGGTTAATGTGTGATATTACTGATACTGGTTTTTTATGCAACTTTTATCTCTTTCATAAGTTTGTTAACAGAGTTAAAGCTGGAGTGGCTTTGATGGCTTTAGATTGCGCTAGTCCATTCTCTCCATTATGCTTTGAAGTAAATATAGTTTTTCTTTTGTTTTGTTTTTCCTTTAGGTGCTGATCTATTTCCCTAAGCTTAATTTTACAACCATATTACTGTTTCTGTTTAAGAAGTATTTATTAACTGAACTGTGTTTTATAGTAGTATTCTATACAGTTTTTTCACTCTTAATTTGTTATAGATTTTGTCATTTTGAACATAAGTCTCTTTGAAACACAGCACTAGTTCCTCATAAAACGTTTTCTGAAGAAAGCAGGGGACTAAAGAGAAGCAGAGTTAGAGTTTGTAATGGTAAAAAGTTTTGTTCGTTTATACCTCCTGTTGGTGTCTTGGCTAAATTCTGGTTTGAGTAATTACAGGCTTTTTTTTCTTAATATGCTTACTGCAGTTTAAATTGGGTAACACATTTTTCATTTATTGCATGACTGCATTTTTTTTTTTTTGGAGTGAAGTGAATCTACACGTATAAATAGAGAGAAAATTCATGTGTTGATGTAACTATTAAGTTTGTAAAGTGCTTTGAAGATTATTTGGATAAAAATTGAGTTAAAAGAAAAAGAACAGTATATAGTAACCTAAAACTTTCTTTAAGAAGATATGTTGAAAATGTCATTATGCACGTGAGTTGAACATAATTGGTATTTTTTTAATTCATAATCAACTCTTTTATCGCATTTTTTCGAAGTGCTTTATGAACGAAAACTAACCAAATGCTGAGGCACTAGGAGAAAATTGCCTGACCATTTCTAGTTGAAACCACCAGTTTGTGGTGGTGATAAGTCTTAGAAGAGTCCTGTGGTGCAGCGGTTAAGCACTCAGCTACTAACTGAAAGGTTGGTGGTTCAGACTTACCAGCCACTCCACAGAAGACTGATGTAGCAGTCTGCTTCCATAAAGATTACAGCCTTGGAAACCCTATGGTGCAGTTCTGATCTGTTCTATAGAGTTGCTTTGGTGGGAATGTATTCAGCAATGAGTTTTATGAGTCTTAGTTGAGCTTACTCTCTTGCTGTTATATTTTTAACTTGAGTTTATTCATTTTTTTTTATATCTGCTGTTTTATATACTGCTGTTTTTCTTAGCGCATTCCAAATTTTCCTGTTTCCTTCAAGTTCTTTCCTTAACCTGTCACATCTCTTCTCAGGATTTCATCTTAACTAAACTTGCTATCTCACCTTTAAAATTACCAGTGCTCACACTCAGGCTCTCCCCAAGACTCAGTGGGTAGGACGTTGTTCTTCCCGTTTAAAGCTAAGTCTTTCTTCCGTGCTTGGCCTACCCTATTTCCTCTCTTCTCCTTAATCACTTATTTTGTTTTTCTTTCTTTACTGAATACATATAGCCACTTTACAATTCTTTCACCCTTCATTAATAATCCTGTGAAGATACACTATTATTCTCATCCTTAACATGTGTTTTAAAAATCTCTTTTAACTACCTCTCCCTCTTGTTAATGCCTTCTTTCTCCCTTAATGCAATCTTTTCTAAAGAATGGTCTCATTTGGTGTATCCACTTGTGTCTCTACTTTTTCACCTCTTGTTCACTCTTTGCCACATGGGCAGGGAGGCAGCATCTTCTGACAAACTCTAACTAAACAAGAGGAAGAGAGAATCACTATCAGCAGCCCAAGGCCTGTTCTTATGAGGCCAGACATGCACCACTCTCTAACCCTCTTAATAACCTTGTCACCATCTGTCCCTCTCATGGTACCCACCACTTCTCTGCTGGGTTCAGTAATTCGTTGGAGTGGCTACACAGAACTTGCAGATTATTGGGTTTATTAGGGAAGCAGCAGGCAACAAGTCAAGTTCAGGAATGCACTCAGTCTCTCAGCTGGCTGTCTTAGTAGCACATCGCGCTCTCAGCAGTGCGTCTCCCTCGCATCTCTCTTTCAGCAGCACATCTCTCTCACATCTCTGTCTCAGCAGCGTGTCTCTCATTGCAGCACATCTCTCTCAGCTGGTAGTCAGAGAGAATCCTCTCTGCCTTTGGGAGGACTCATTTTAGGCCTGACAGAGTGGCGAAACTAACCAGTCCCAACATGAGAATTCTCCACACCTGAGAGAGACTGAATTCCCCAGAAGATTACTTCATGCTGCTTCAACAGAAATATCTCAGGTGGATAATTTGAACAATCAGGTACTCAGTTGCTCAGGGCAAAGTGGGAGTTACAAAGACTATGACTAGAAAAGCCATTCCATTTAATTTACACAGGTAAATTAACCTATTACAGTCCAGCTTCTGCTGCTTACTATTTCAGTTGTTCTAGTTAATGTCACCAGTAACATTAATTGCTAAAACCAAAGTATTCTTTTAGTCTTTATTTTCTTTAACCTACTGTGTGGTATTAGACATTATTGATCATTTCTTTGAACCTCTCCTATGACTTCATTTTCTTTAATTTTCCTGTTTTTACCTCTTATCATTTGTTCTCTGCTTTTCTTTTCCCTGCGTGCTCCTTGAAATACTGCTGTTTCCCAGAATTCTGCCATGTACTCTTTCTCTTCTCTCTGTGTTTTCTCAGGTGACCTCATTCACTCTCGTGGTTTAAAATAAGGCTATATGTTGATGAATCCCAAATCTCTCTGGCCAAACCTCTCTGCTGAGCTTCAGACCCATATATTCAGCTTCACACAGGCTTTTCCTCTTGGATGGTGGCCTTTGGACTTATATGCCTCTTCTTCAAATCTTTCTTATCCTACATTCTCTACCTTTGTTGTTAGCATCACCATCTGCCCAAGCCTACATTCTGGAGTCTTTCTAGACCTTTTTCTCTTCCCTTCACGTGCCACGTACCACATTCTGTCAATTTTCCTGCCTATATATTTCTTAAATTTATTCCTTTTGTTATAGTCTATACCATTGTTTTGTTTTAGGCCTTGATAATCTCTCATACAGATTCTTATAATAGGTCTCTGCATTGCACACACAGGTGGCTTAAGAATGTCAAGTGGCAATAAGACTGCTAAGATGAGGATTTCGCCCAGCAGCATCAGCTGCTCCATAAGCTCTGTATCCGTCTAGTATAACTGAGCCATATGTATAAGACACTGACAAAGTGTTGACAAATGAAAGCCTTATTATTATTTATAGAAGGCAAACAGTAGAAACAGATTTATGGTCAACCAGGCCCCTCCACCCCTCGTCCACGTATGACTGCCTCTATAGGAGAGGGACCTAATTATATCTGAAAGAGATTATGCATACCCTTACCCCAAACTGATGACTATTTTTATGTCACTGGGCAAGCAAACTGTGGCTCAGGTGTCAGCAGCTGTGTGGCAATTTAGGTGCTGGTTTTGTGCCACCATAGCTTCTAGGCTCCACACTGCCTGGGCCCTGCACAGCTCCCACTGTGCCGTCAGAGGCCCACACGCGTTTGCTACTGGGCCTCACACCACCAGTTCTGCCCTGCTGCAGGCAGATCTCTGCACAAAGTCTTCTAAGCCTCTACTGGCCTCATGCCACTGCTCTGCTCTGTCACTGGGCCTCCCACTACCTGCTCCTCACTGGGCTCACTGTGGTCTGCAAGCTAGTCTTCAGTGTTATTGTCTCTGTCTTAATTAGCCCTCTACCCATGTACACATCTTTACTAGGCACAGGAGGTTCTTAGTACAGGCCCTGTGTATGTAGGGTGTGCTTCCCTGCCAATTATTTTTTATCAGGAGGCCCTCAAAACCTCTGTGGGATTGGTCATTTATGTAGGAAAGCTCCTGTCAGTTTCAAGGTAGAGATTTCCTAGCGGAATTGCAGCCTGACCAATCATCTTAGGTGGATTGCAAACCCAGGGCCAGAAAGGCTGCAAAAGGGAATTCATAGTATCCCAGTCTCCCTGCATCTGGTTTTATTCCCATCAAATTCATCCTTAGTTCTGAGTAATCTTTCAGAAACACAAATCAGATCTTGTCATTTGTCTGTTAAATGCCGACAAACCTGTTTCACAAAGCCTAAGCTCCTTAGCAAGGTGTTCAGTGCTTAGAATAATTGTTGTTAGGTGATGTTGAGTTGGTTTCAACTCATAGCAACCCTGTGTGCAACAGAACGAAACACTGCCCAGTCGTGCGCCAGCCTCACAATCCTTGGCTGTGCTTGAGCCCATCGTTGCGGCCACTGTGTCAATCTGTCTCATTGAGGGTCTTCCAGACCCCTTTTGTGCTGACCCTCTACTTTACCAAGCGTGATACCCTTCTCCGGGGACTGGACCCCCTAATAACATTTCCAAAATACATGAGATGAAGTCTCTCCATCCTTGCTTACAAGGAGAATTCTGGCTGTACGTCTTCCAAGACATAGTTTTTTGTTTTTCTGACAGTCCACAGTACATTCAGTATTATTCACCAATAACTCAAAGGCATCGATTCTTCTTTATTCTTCCCTATTCGTTGTCCAGCTTTCGCATGCATATGAGGAGACTGAATATGCCATTGCTTGGGTCAGTACATCTTAGTCCTCAAAGTGACATCTTTGCTTTTTAATACTTTAAAGAGGTCTTTTGCAGCAGATTTAGCCAATACAATACCTAGTTTGATGTCTTAACTGGTACTTCTGTGGAGATTGAGTGTGAATCCAAATCAAATGAAATCTTTGACAACTTCAATCTCTTCTCTGTTTACCATGATGTTACTTACTGGTCCAATTGTGAGGATTTTTGTTTTCTTTATGTTGAGGTGTAATCATACTGAAGGCTGTAGTCTTTGTTGTTATGATACTTAGTTCCTTCCTAATTCTTTAACCTCATCTCCAACCACTAGTTCCCTTGCATTTTGCAATCCAGTCACACTGTGCCATTTCTACTCCCTCACACATTCCTTGTTTTGTGCTTTTGGTGTTACTGCCTGGAATTTCCCTCCTTTCTTCTCTTTACAGCATCATTTGTAACCTTTTTTGGGCATATTTCTTTGGTAAGGCTTTCACTGATTTCCATAGGCACTAATATACTGTGCAGAGTAAATCACGTCATTACCTAAACTACTTTGGTGCCCTGTACCTATTTTGTTTATTCTGTCATTGAACACCATACTGTGTGGTAATTACTGGCTTACTTGCTAATTTCCCCTGTAAAACTGTGTTCTTAGAGGTCAGGTGCCATGTTTTATTCATCTTTGCATACCTAGCATTGCTCAATAATTGTTTACTGAACTGAATGCTTGGTTTTTGTTTTCAGTTTTTTGGAAAAGAAAACCAAAGCTTGAAAATGTGTGGGTTTCCCAAATTCTTGCGTGTGAATTAGTGTGAATTTGTGGTTTGTGGTGATCTTTTTGATTATGTATCTCTTGCTTTCTAAATGATAGATAACTAATTCAGTTCACTTCAATTTCCTGTAATACTGAGTTTTGGCAGTTACTCACTTTTCATAGTTGGATACATTCATTCCTTTATTCCACATTTATTCCACCAGGCACTGAGCAGTTCAGGCTCAGTTTCAGTGCTTGAGTGTGTATGGGTGTATAAACATTGCCTGATCTTAGAGGAGAAAAATAACTCACAAATACTAGGAAGAATCTAGTAAATAAAAATATTTAAGAAAGCTATGTTGATAGTACTTCTGTTGACATTGTCTGTGTTGTTTATTTTTTGTTTTGTATATATACATTTCATAATTCCACGTGTATGTGGACATGTATGAATGTCAATCTCTTGTATACATTATAGGACATAAGAAAAATAGAAGTAAGTCCAAATAAATGTTAGTCCACTGTTAGTCATTTGGGTTTAAAATCAGAGTTTTTAAGATGCTAGCTCCACTTTATGTGTTCAGATTGAACTAAGAGAACAAGAGATAGAACGACTGTCTGTGGCTTTGGATGGTGGTCGCTGCCCAGATATCCTCACTCTGGAGAGTAGAAATAAAACCAATGAGAAGCTTATTGCTCATTTAAATGTTCAGGTAAGGCTTTTATAATGATTTCAACCAAATATGTAAAATTATAGCATTATAATGATCTGTGGGTTTCGAAAAGTGATAGAGTGGTTTGCTGAGGTATTTATACTGAGAAAAAATTTGATAGATTCCAGAAATAAGGGAATGGTTACATACTTTATAGAATATACTATTAAAAAATCATGTTTTCAAAGAATATTGAATGGATCAGGATCATAGACACATTATAATTTTAAATATTTAGAAGAGGAGAATAAACTGTAGGTGATGTTAAATTTGCTTTTTAAAAATGTATATGTACACTCAAAAAGAGAAAGCATTGGAATAGGAGACACCAAAATATATTCACAAAGTTTTGTCTTTGAATGATGAGATATTCTTTCTGGTTTTCTTTATTTTAAAATTTTTTATGAATATGTATTTCTTTCATAATGAAAAAAAAGTTTTACAAATTGTGAAAAAATTAAATACATAGTGTATTTTTACCTATGTAGTAGAATTCCTTGCCATTCATCTGATCTACGGATAAGAGAGCAGGAGAGCTCACTAAGCATGACTTGTGAACTTTAGAACTTTTGCTATGCCAGAGCTGCCTAGGCTGCAACCAGAATAGAGCATGCCAAAAATACTAGCTAGTACTTTCAGAGCAATACTGTTCAGTAGAAATAAGGTATGAGCCACATGTGTAATTTAAAATTTTCTAGTAGCCTGATTTTATTTTATTTTTCTATTGTGCTTTAAGTGCAAATTTACTAGTAGCCTGATTTAAAAAGAAACAAGAAATTTATCTTAGTAATATATTTTATATATCCCATATATCAATAACAATATTATTTTGACATGTAATCAATATTAAGAATTATTAATGACATTTTACATAGTTTTTAAATTTTGTGTTAAGTCTTTGAGCTTCTGTGTGTGTATTATCGTTTTTAATAATGAGTTCTGATAGTAATTTACTTTTCTGAGTGTGATACATTCATTCCTTTTTTCTACATAATTTGGAGTAGCTACGTTTTAAGTATTCAGTAGCCATATGTGGTTGCTAGTAGCTAGAGAAATATCACAGTGATATTCTTGTCATATTTTCAGAACTCTGTGTTGAGAAAAATTTCATGTAACGTTCTTAAGTATCTTTTCCGTTTATGCTTGAAAATCAAAGCCAATGGATATATGTTTTTATCAAACCACACATTGTTGGTTTAGCAAATCAGAATGATGTAAGTTTACAAATAAAATGGCTGTGGTTTTAATTTTGATCGCTTTTAAAACATAGTATTTTGGAATATTATTGGAGAATATTATTGGAGCTCTGGTAGCATAGTGGCTAAAGCACTTGACTGCTAACCAGAAGGCTGGCGGTTCAAACCCACCAGCCACTCCTCGGAAGGAAGGTTGGGCAATCCTACTTCCGTAGTGATACTGCCTCGGAAACCCAAGGAGGCGTCGCTATGAGTCGGGGCCGACTGGACGGCACAACAACAACAACATTGGAGAATTCATTATGGTAATTTTTCAATTCGTTTACCTTATGAATTACAAATTCAATGTAGGTTGACTTTCTTCAGCAAGCTAATAAAGATCTGGAGAAGCATATTCAAGAGCTTATGGAAACCAAGGAAACAGTCACAACTGAAGTTGTTGATTTAAGTAACAAAAATGAAAAACTCTGCCAAGAATTAACTGAAATAGACCAGTTAGCACAGCAGTTGGAAAGACATAAAGAACAAGTGCTTGAGACTGCCGATAAAGAAATTGGAGAAGCAAAGGTAATGCTGCATTTGGGTTGTAGGGATGTTCATTAGTTCTCCTAGGACAATTGAGCCCTTTGGACGTCTTCTGTACCCAGGTCTTCTCTATTTTATAATACAATTTTTTTTTTTTAAGTGTTGAACTATATATGTCCTTGCACATTTTTAATTTGGTAGCTAATGTTTTTCATTTTTAAGTTTAAATATTATTTTAAAAAGGTTAAATAGATTCAAAGGATATAATTTCCAGCCTTTTGCAAATATTAACATCTTAAAGTAAAGCTGACATATTGTTCTTTTAAATATAGCCAATGGCATCTAAGTGCCATAGATTTTTTGGCAATTTGATATCCTGCATTGTACAAACATGACTGAGTCTTTCTTAACAGTCAGATATTTTACATTATTTCTCCCCTTTCCTTGAAGTCCTATTTCCATTTTATTTCTCCACAAAATTTTATTCTATTTCATATATTTTTGTGCTTAGATATCTTTCTTTAATCTTCTGTCTGCAATAAAAATACATGTAAATTGAACTTTTTTTATTTTTAAAATTTCCTGTGACTGTAAGATTCAAAGGAACTCTGGTAGCATAGTGCCTAAGGCATTTGACTGCTAATCAGAAGGCTGGCTGTTCAAACCCACCAGCCACTCCTCGGAAGGAAGGTTAGGCAATCTACTTCCATAGTATACTGCCTCCGAAGCAGCTGAAAGAGGGGTTGCTATGATTCAGATTTGACTCAACAACAGTGCATGTGTATAATGTTCAAAGTGTTAAGATTTGCCTCTGAATAGTGTTATGATTACAGTTATTAGTAATTAGTAAATAAGAATGACAAATCTGCCATAGATGTTGGTAAATAGTTATTAAATTAAAAAGTAAAACTTTATTAGAAATGTTGTTGTTGTTGTTGTTATTTGCCGTCGAGTCGGCCCCGACTCATAGCGACCCCTCCTTGGGTTTCCAAGGCAGTATCACTACGGAAGTAGGATTGCCCAACCTTAGAAATAGAGCTCTTAATTAAGATATAATAGGAGGAAATAGTGTCTGAGGTAGAGGCTTTGTTCAGCCCCAGCATTTCAGATTATCATTTTTTCTAGTGCTCCAAAAGATTTTTATATCTCAAGAAAGTGTGCCATTAGGACATGAGTGAGATGTATGCCTTTCTTTTGAAAGTAAGAGAAAGGCAATTGTGAAAGAAGAGATCTCATGCGACCACAGAATGCAAGCCAGTTGTCAGGTAGATCATTTTTAAGAAGAATGTGCTCAACTACTAACCAGAGGTTGACAGTTCAAACCTATCTGGCTGTACCATAGAAGAAAAGCCTGGCAATCTGCTACCCTAAAGATTACAGCCACAGACGATGTTTCTGCAAGCGTGTTTGTATGTGCTGTAAAAGGGGCCAGATATAAAGTAGAGCTACAAGGGACAAAGTTGTGATGACTTCTTGGCCACAGCCAGCTACCCAGAGGCAGCGAGTTGTTGGACCTGTGGGCTCGGGACTGTGGTCTCAGGAGACATCAAGCTCAATTAGTATAACATACTACACAAAAACATTGTTCCACATCCTACTTTGGTGAGTAGTGATTGGGATCATAAAAGCTTGCAGCCATTTAGATGCAACACTGGGTCTTTCCTCATCCAGAGAAGAGAAAAATGAAGAAAACCAAAGATGCATGGAAACAATTAGTCCGAGGGACTGGTAGACCACACGGTCCTTAGCCTATATGACCATGAGACCAGAAGAGCTAGATGGTGCCCAGCTGTCACTGTCAACCACTCGAAGGCGGATCTTTATAGGAGATCCTGGATAGAATGGGAGAACAATGTGGGACAAAACTCAAAATCATTACAAACAAAGAAAAAGACCAGGTTTGCTGGTCTGATAGAGCTTGGTGAGAACCCTGAGACTATGGCCTCTACCTCACCTTCAGGTCTGGAATTGAATTCACTTCTGTGGCTTCCAGGCAAATAATAGACAGGCATATGGGCTGAACATTTACATCAGGTAGATACACTCTTTGGAGAGATCAATCATGGGAGAACAGAAGGGCACTGTATGCACAGGGAGACAGCTCAGAGGGCAGGAGTGCATAGGAGGGAAGGACACAGGGAAGAGGTAACTGGGGAGGAAGTAGGAAGAGAGCTGTTCCATTGTGGGAAATTGTAGTCAATGTCATGAGACAAAATGTGTATGAACTGCTATATGGAAAATGAATTTGTTTTGTAAACATTCACCCAAATCACAATAAAAAATGATTATAGCAAAAAAAAAAACCCCTATAGAGCTCAGTTCTACTTGGTAATAAATGGGGTCACCAGAATAGGAGTTGATTTGATGGGTTTTCTACAGCGAGGTTAAGGATCCAGCTATTGATTGTTTAAAGCCGTATGCATACCATAGTTTTACATGTCACTGGAAAGTTTTTATGTTATCTCTGGGTAGGTATCACCTACTTTGAAGACATGTGCTCTACATCACTGAATTGGGTATTTTGCCGTTTTACCTTCACTGATTAGTATGGTTTAAGTTCTTTTTAGTTTCATTGAGCACTCCTATGTCGTCTCTTTCCTTTTGTATCTCAGCCTAGTCTGTGCTATACACATTAGATACTAAGTACAGCTTCTTACATCCCATTGACAATGCTCAGGAGTGACATCTTGGTTCAACAAAAGATTCTTACTTGAATGGATATAAGAAAACAAGATAATATTTTAATCATGGCATTTTGCTCTCTCATTTGTAGTACTGTGGATCCAGGTTGGTAATGACAGGTAGGAAGAATGCAAGTAGGATAGGAAAATCAGAAAGTTACAGTGCCATAAGATGTATCCTAAAAATCAAGGCTCAGGAAAAATCCTACAAGTATCTAGGCAAGAAATGCTTTCCAAATTGCCATCTTGGTTCAGATATTGCAAATAGATCCCTAGGAACATTTGAGATATTCACTGCTGTCGAGTCGAATCTGACTCATAGCGACCCCTCCTTGGGTTTCCAAGGCAGTATCACTATGGAAGTGGAAGGCCCAACCTTCCTTCCAAGGAGTGGCTGGTGGGTTTGAACTGCCAGCCTTCTGGTTAGCAGTCAAGTGCTAACCGGCACTACGCCACCAGAGCTCCCATTTGAGATATTAGGAGATTATAAACAAACCTCTATTTTTCCACCGCCTCCTTAAAATTGAGCATTAGGGCTTAAGCCTCAAAATTTGTCTTTGGTAAGAGGGAACATGAAGTACTTGAAAAATTATTTACTTTCAAGTATGTTATAACTTAAGTGTTGTATTCTTAGGCTTTTAGATGTTTACATAATATACTTTTTTTTGTTTGTTTTAACAACTTTCCTAAACCAAACTCACTGCCATTGAATCAATTCAGATTTATAGCAAACAACTTTATTGAGATACAATACACATGGCATACAATTCACTCATTTGAAGTATATAATCCATAATGAGTATATTCACACAGTTCTGGAGCTATTACCATATCCCAGTCAACCATTGATCTCAGTCAGTTTTAGAAGATTTTCATCACCTTTAAAAGAAAGCCCATACCTTATCAATCATCCCTCTACTCTCTCATCCCCTCCTTTCCTAAGCAACCACTAATCTATTTTCTGAAGCTATAGATTTCCCTGTTCTAGACTTTCATATGAATGGAACTATATAGTATATGGTTTTTTGTTAGAGTGCTTTCATTAATATGTTTGTAGGGTCTACCCATGTTATAGTATATATTACTACTCCATTCCTTTTTATGGCCAAATAAGCTATGTTGTATGGATGTAGCACATTTTGTTTATCCATTTATCCATTGATAGACATCTGGGTTGTTTCTACTTTTTGGCTGCTAGAACTAATGCTCCTCTACACATTCATGTAAAGGCTTTTGCGTGGACATATATTTTCTTTTTTTTTTTGAGATATGCTTAGGAGGAGAATTCCTGTGTCATGTTTAGTTGTTTTAAGAAAAGCTAGACTGTCTCCAAAGCAGTTGCACCAGTTTACGTTCCCACTAGCAGTGTATTAATAGACTTTTTATTCCTAGAAAGAGATTAAAAGAAAACTCTGTGAGATGCGAGATCTTGAAGAATCAATGTCAAAACTTCAACTGGTAAGTAGATAGCATATTGAAATGCCAGAATTTTCCATAACAAAAATTTTGTGCTTTATTTTATATAGATAGGCACATGTACTTGTTAGGTGCTATCTGGTTGGCTCTGACTCATAGCAACCTACATACAATAGAATGAAACACCTGCCCGGTTCTGTGCCAGCCTCACGATACTTGTTATACATGAGCCCATCATTGCAGCCATGGTGTCAGTCCATCTCGTTGAGGGCCTTCCCCTTTTATGTTAACCTTCCACTTTACCAACCATGATATTCTTCTCCAGGGAATGTTGTTGTTGTTGTTATGTGCCATCAAGTCGGCCCCGACTCATAGCGACCCCTCCTTGGGTTTTTCGAGGCAGTATCACTACAGAAGTAGGATTGCCCAACCTTCCTTCTGAGGAATGGCTGGTGGGTTTGAACTGCCAGCCTTCTGGTTAGCAGTCAAGTGCCTTAGGCACTATGCTACCAGAGCTCCTACTCCAGGGAATAGTCCCTTCTAACAACATGACCAAAGTAGGTTAGATGAAGTCTGGCCATTCTCCCTTCAAAGGAGAATTGCGGCTGCATTTCTTCCAGGACAGATTTGTTAGTTCTTCTGGTATTCCATGGTACTTTCAGTATTCTTCTTCAACACCACAACTCAAAAACATCAACTCCTCTTCAGTCTTCCTTATTCATTGTCCAACTCTCACATGCATATGAGCCAATTGAAAATACCATGGCTTGGGTTAGGTGCACCTTAGTCTTCAAAGAAACATCTTTGCTTTTCAGCACTTGAAAGAGGTCTTTTGCAGTAGACTTGCCTAGTGCGATATGGCATCTGACTTCTTGACTGCTGCTTCCATGGTGTTGATTGTGGAACCAATATGAAATCTTTGACAACTTCAATCTTTTCTCAGTTTATCATGTTGCTGCTTATTGGCCCAGATGTGAGTATTTTCATTTTCTTTATGTTAAGATGTAATCCATACTGTAGACTGTAGTGTTTAATTTCATCAGTAAATGCTTCAAGTCATCTTCACTTTCAGCAGTAAAGTTGTGTCATCTCCAAATCACAGGTGGTTAATGAGTCTTCCTCCAATCCTGTTGCCACGTACTTCTTCATATAGTCCATCTTCTTGCATATTTGCTCATCATACAGATTAGATAAGTATGGTGAAAGGATACAACCCTGATGCATTCCCTTCCTGATTTTAAACCATGCCATATCCCATTGTTCTGTTTGAACGACAGCCTCCTGGTCTGTGTACAGGTTCCTCATGAGCATAATTAAGTATTCTGGAATTCCCCTTCTCAGTGTTACCTATAATGTGTTATGGATAACAATCAAATACTTTTGCATAGTCACAAGTAAACATCTGTCTGGTATTCTATGCTCTCAGACAAGATCCATCTGATATCCGCAGTGATATCCCTCGTTCCACATCCTCTTCTGAATCAAGCTTGCATTTCTGGAAGCTCTCTGTTAATATACTACTACAACCATTTTTAAATTCTCTTCAGCAAGATTTTACTTGCATGTGATGTCAATGATACTGTTCAATAATTTCCACATTCTGTGGGAATCACTCTTCTTTGGAATGCATCCAAATATGGATCTCTTCCATTCAGCTGGCCAGGTAGCTATCTTCTAACTTTCTTGGCATAAAAGAATGAGTGCCTCTGGAATGGCATCCTTTTTTTTTTTTTTTTAATTGTGATTTGGTGAAGATTTACAGATCAGATTCACATTCCATTCAGCAATTCACATACACTTTGTCTTATGACATTGACCACAGTTTACCACAATGCAACAGCTCCCTTCCCACTTCCTCCCCATAGTTAACCTCTTCCCAGTGTCCATCCCTCCATGCATTCCTGCCCCCTGAGCTGCCTCCCTGTGTATAAGCAGCCCTTCTTTCTCCCATGATTGTTCTCTCCAAGGAGTATATCTGTAAATGTTCAACTCATATGCCTCTCTTTTTGTTGCCTGGAAACCACGGGTTTGGGTTCAATACCAGACCTGAAGGGCAGCTAGGGGCCATAGTCTCAGTGGTTCCACCAGG